CCTCCCCCTCGACCAGAGGTCGGGAGGCCGCGTGCAGTAGGCGGCAGGCCAGCTCGCGTCGTTGCTCCTCCGAACTCCCCCCGCCTGGACGACGACAAACGCGACGACGACTCACCGGCCTCCTCCTCATCGCCTTGGCCTGCAAGGCCAGGCTGGCGTCGAGGCGATCGGCTGCTGCTGGCTGGCTGACCATGCACAGGCGAGTCCTCACGCCGACGCGAGGCAGCCAGTGCAGTAGCCAAAGCAAGGCCGATGCCCAGCCCAGACTCAGCAGCACGGGACGCAGGGTTGTGTGCAGGCGTATCCTGGTGGTCACTTTGTCGGCTAGCCTTCGCACTAGCCAGGACTGCACATGCCCTCAGCTTCGTAGCTCGGTGGCCTTACATGGCCGACTCCAGAGCCCTCGGATGGCGCTATCGGCGTAGGCAGCCCTGTTACAAAGCCTGCAACGGATGCCATTCCTGTCTGGTACGAAATCATGTTGGCTGATCGAAACCGCTGGCGGCTGCGGAGGTGGGCGAGGCACTTGGGGCTCCATCTCAGGGGGCATCCACCCCTTGGAGCTCAAATCCTGAGAGCCTGCCCAGGCCACACATTTAGCACGATTGACGGCCTCAGCAATCCTACCCTCGAGCCCTCTGCCGAAGCTCGGGCTAACAGTGACAGCGCGCAAGGCAACGGTGGCGACAAAGTCGGCCCAGGCATTTCCCAACCAAGCCATGCACCCAACCCAACCCCAAGACTAGCCGCCTCCTCAGGCGTTTTGTGCGAGGGAGTCCCAGCAAACATGGGAGGAGCTCGGCCTTGCCTGGCCGCCTCCGCTCCGATGGCACGCCAGATCTCAGCAGGCCGAGCAGAGGCAGGCGCCTCGTCCTCACTCCGACGGGCGCCCTCCTGCACAATTGAGAGGTGATCACTGACTGTGCGAGTGACGGCTGGCGAGGCCGAAACCGCTTGCAATCCCGCGTATCGAGCAGCCCTGGGAACCGATTGAATCCCTGGGAGGCTTCCAAAGCGGGCCTTGGATGGGGCGGCCCGCAGGGTCCAGTTGCGCAATGGCCCAAACACAGCGGGCCACTTCAGGGGCCCCCATGCTTTGCCGAGCCGCATCCGTGTAGACCGTGCCTTCCCAAGGGATTGTCTGGTCCCCCCATTCAAACCGCTGTTCAGGGGTCCTGTTTGGGCGCTCAGATAGTGGCGGGAGCAGCGGGATGGCGCAAGCATGTGGAAAGGAATCGAAGAACGTGGGATCGGCCGAACACAGCACCTCATTACGCATCAGTTCGCGCACCTGGACCTCGCTCTTCTGCTCACGCGTTCTCTCATAGGGCGGCGGCATGATCCCCTCATCAAGCAACACGAGGCAATCGAACCAGCGGTGACCTGAGGTCTCAGGCTTCTCACCACAGGCCAGGCATGTCGCAGATTGGCAGAAGCCTTGTTGATGCCTGCGCGCCCTCTTCCACATAGCACCCTCACCGCAAACATTCTAACGTTCCCAACTCATCGGCCTGCGATATCGCTCTGGCACCCTGCGCGCAGGCACGCAGTCCTCTGTGCCAGATCTGCGCACCCGTTCTGTCGGGCATGCGTTGCTCTAGCTCGCGCATCTGCCGGCGCTGTACACCTGCCTAGCTCGTGCCCCAAGTTTCTCATCCAACGATGCCTCTTGATGGATCGTCGCTGCGCAGTACTCCGCACCACCTCCTCTGCGTGCGCATCGAAGCCACGAAACCTAGCTTCTTGGTCTGCACTGGCAGGTGTAGGTCATCGAGTGTGGTTAGGATTTCATCTGCCGCCTGATGACCGACCTCCTCTGCGCACAGATGTGCTGGACCAGCCCAGCGCATCGACATGTCATCAACCAGTTGCCGTGGAGTGACCGTGGGGCACATCGCTGAGAGTCGACGCATCGAGTTGTAAAGGACTTTCAAAACCGTGGTAGCGTGTGAGCACCAGCCGTGATGCCCTGCTCAGATTGAAACAATGCCGATGCACTGTCGCATGCACGCGACGTTCTCGTCTGCCTGTGCGCTTGCACTAACATCCATGCCAGGCGCGGCGAAAAGCCTCCCTCATAAGAATCGTTGGATGAGCTCAAATCATTCCCAGAGATCCACCATCAACGCAACTGTCTTGTTGTCCAGGGCCGCATCGATTTCATTATCCAGGCTCAGCGCAAAGGCCGACGCCGATGAGCTACCTGGGCCTGTGCCCCAGCTGTGCGCACTGCGATGCTCCTTGGTCCAAGCTGCCGAGATTGGCCGTCTCGCGCGTTCCCAGATGCGGACCAGGGTGTTAAGTAAACCAATGAATCTCGTACCGCCATCTGCTTTGGGCAGCCTGACCAGAATAGTCGCTAGTCTGTCAGGGGGCCAGCCCAAGAGGTTCTCGCAGGCAGTGAACAGCAGTGAGATAGTAGTCAGCCCAACATCAGAGAGATGCTGCAGCTGTCTGCGATGAATGCCAGATTGTCTCACCGCTGACTTGGGCGGGAAGGTAAACAGCACATGTCGTAGTTGAATCGCTGTGATCGGCTCGAGCTCAGGCCAGTGCTCCGCCCCCGCAGGCAACTCCGCTGGCGACAGCCCAAGATGTGTCCGAATGCCTGCCCGCTGCTGTAGCTCAGCGTCTTCGAGCTCGGTGGGCTGACAGGATCCTCTGGTCGGGGGTGCTTCCACCTGGGCCTTGGGCTTCGTGAAGCGATGTGCTTGGCCCGCTCCTTCTGAGGCTGCGCCCCCCTTTTCCTCCCCCAGTCAGTCAGTCAGTGGGCCGTGCATCCTGAGGACGCGCTGGCAAAAGAGCACATAAAAAGTTAGGGTGGTGCGCCAAAAGCGTCCCACATGCAGCCAAGAGCAGCCCACCAAACGCGAGGGTAGTGCGCCAAACACACACACACGAGTCACAAACTTGCAAATACTTATTTTGCCCATTGTTGTCTTGGTCGGCCTCTGCGACGGCGGTTGGCCCAATTTTTCGGGGCGCAGTCCTCCCCCATCTCTGGTTACTCCAGATTTCGTAATAAAGGGGAGGGGGGTCTGGACCCTCCAAGACAAGCCATTTCAGACCTCCCCAGTGGGAGAACCCTCCAAAACATCGTCCCCAGACCCCCCAGGCCCTCCAAGATAGCCTGGAAGAGACCCCCCCCCCCCGAAATGAGACCCCCCTCCCTTTATTACGAAATCTGGAGTAATTCAAGCTTCGCGCGGCCCGCGCAGCTTCGACCGGAGGATGTGCGCCCTCGACGCGCGAATCCAAGTAGTGCCTGGCCCGCTCCGCCCGTGCAGGCCTCGCGGAGCCCACTCACAGCCAGGCCTTTGGGGGCCTCGGCCTCGGCTGCGCGGCTGAACAGCTCGCGCTGGTCCTGGGCGTGCTGCAGCTGCCCCTCATACTGATCATTCGGCAGGCAGTCCAAGCCAGAGTTGAAGAACGCGCGCGCCTCCTGGGACTGCTGCTGGAGCACCTGCTGGCTGCGCCCCACGCGCTGCAAGTGCCTGCTGAGCTCGTGCACCTGCCGAGCCAGGCGACGGAGCGCCTTGGTGGCATGGTGCTCGGTGGAGCCCTCCTGCTGCAAGCTCCGTGCGTCCTTCACCAACGCTGCGCGGGCTCCTCGCAGGTACTGCTCCCATCGTGCTGCTGCTGCCCAGGCTGTGGCTTGCTGGCCGTGCCTGGCCCGACGCCGTGCCGGCTGCCATGCCACCTGCTGCTCAACCAGCACAGGGGCTCCATCTCGACCACAATGCGCTTGCCTCGACCGCCCAACCAGACCATGACGATTGGCGAGCTCCTGCTCCACCCCTTGCAATACCAAGTCCCAGGCTCCGACCTGTTGCTGCGCATTGCGCGCGGCCTGCATCGTCTGGAGCGCTGAACCCCAGTCAACTGGGAAGCGTGCGCAGCCAGGGTCGACCTCTCGTGGGAAGGCCTTCGGCTGCTTCAAAACACGAAGGTGCAGCTTCAAGCGACCTCTGGGTAGGAAGAAGCATACAGGCTGATGTGGCCACAGCGTAGAATACACTTGCACCTCAACCGTATATTCAGCCGCTTGAACCAAGGATCTGTTCAGGATGCCGTAGTCTAGAATCAGTCCAGGTTGTGACTGTAGGCAGGTGGGCTGCGATGGGGCGCAGCATGCTCCGTTGATCAGGTGGAGCTAGACATGCTTCAACAACTCGTCTGGTGGCATGTTGAAGTCTCCCGCTGCCATCCAAGTATACCCTGCCGTGGCAATTAGCGCGACATGCTTGCAAACCTCCCAGATGATGGCCAAATTGCGAGGAGAACGCCCTCCAACGGTGGCAAGGTGGATGGAGATGCATATCATGCCTCATGGGCTCCCATTATGCACCAGAGCTGCCACCGCTCGTCCTGGTACAATGCATCCTTCAGGAAAGGCGCCTGTGTCTCCTGGATGTTCGGGCGTGCTAGCACCGCTACCCCTCCTTCCGTGCCGCCGTCAGGCGTCGGGAGGGCTGCTAGCCATTGCCCTCGCCAGCCAAGGTCCAAAGCCTCAGCTTGCACCTCAGGGAGCTTGATCTCGCTAGCGTGGGTCTCCTGCACCAGCACAACATCGGCAGAGGCCGAAGTGAGGTATCTCATCAGGGTGCCGAAGGAGTTGACGTTGGCTGTCACTACGAGTAGTCCTGCACGCCCTGAGACATCCTGAGACTCAACTGGCGGGTCGCGCCAGGCCGCCTGCCATCCAGACGGCCAGTCAGGGGGGACAGGTGGAGAATCACAGGCAGCCGATCCTAGGGATTCCCCCCCTGCTTGGGCCGAGGATGTTTTGGCTCCTGGGCATCGTCCTGCAGTGGGAATCCTTCGTCCTCGAGCGCGTCAAAAAGATCGAACTCGTCATCCAATGTCGCGTGGGCCAAACCGCGCCCTCCTTCAAGTGCCTCGTCTGTAGGACTCCGCTCCAGTGTGTCCAGTGTCGGGCTTGCAGGGCGGGCGACGTGGCGAGCGTCGCAACTCCAGCCCAAGCAGCCAGGTGGAAGTACATGGGCAGGGGCGTCGACCACCCCACCGCCGTGGGCCTTGCCAGCGAGGGCCGCGTCCTGGTCTGGTACGCAGGCCTCGCTCGGACTCACTGGGAGGGCGACGCGGCGAGCATCGCAACTCCTTCCCATGCCGCCTGCCCGAGCTACTTGCGCGAGGGCATCGACCACCCCACCGCCGCGGGCCTCGCTCGGACTTACAAGGCGGGCGCTATGGCGAGTAGCGCGGCTCCAGCCCATGCCGCCTCCATGATCAGCTTGTGTGAGGGCATCGACCACCCCACCTCCGTGGGCCTCGCTAGCGAGGGCTGCGTCCTGGTCATTCCTGGTCTAGGTCGCAGGCCCCGCTCGGACTCACTGGGCAGGCGACGTGGCGAGCGTCGCACCCTCTGCCCAGGCCGCGAAGATGATCAGAACGTGCGAGGGCATCGGCCACCCCACCGCCGTGGGCCTCGCTAGCGAGGGCTGCATCCTGGTCTGGATCGCAGGCCCCGCTCGGACTTACTGGGAGGGCGACGCGGCGAGCGTCACAACCACTGCCCAAGCCGCGAAGAGGATCATCGTGTGCGAGGGCACCGACCACCTCACCGCCTTGGGCCTCGCTAGCGAGGGCTGCGTCCTGGTCTGGGCCGCAGGCCGCGCCCGGACGTACTGGGCAGCTGACAGGGCCAGCGGCGCAGGCAGGTTCTGCCCATGCCGCCGAGGGCTCCGTGCTGTGCGACGGCATCGACCACCCCGCTGCAGTGGGCCTCGCATGAGTGCTGCTCACAACCATGAGCAACCAGGAGCGACGACATCACACGATTCATACACTACACTACTGCCGGGGATATCACAACAAATTGGGTGGAACTTGCAGCAGACACTGAATTTTGGCAGTCGCTGGAGAACGACTTCATTGCCTACTCCAACGTCTAACTACCACGGGCCCCGGCCCGCCCGCGCCGGCCCCCTGGGCCCCGCCAGCCACCGGCCGGCGGACACGCGCGCCTCGCCTCGCCTCGTGCATCTTGACTCAGCGTCATCATCCTCTCAGCGGCTAGCAGCGCTACCCGCGCCCTCCTGTGGTGTCTGTCGTCGGCGCGTAACCTCCTTCCGAGAGGGCGCTTGGATGACCCGCTTGACCGCGTCCCGCAGGTCTGCATCATCATCAGAGCCACAAGCCAGTTGGCACAACCCCAGCGACTCGAGGTACGCCTTGAGCTCCTCCTTGGTTGCGCTGGCGAGCTCCTCCTCGTCGAAGTGCTCCTCCTTGGTCTTGGGGCCTCCTGCCGCAGGGCTGCCACCTCCGTCAGCCGCGCCGGCTGAGGCGCGCGCCTGGCTGGGCTCAGGCTGCGGCGCAGCAGCTTGGATTTCGGCCAGCACATCTTGGAACTTATCCTGCAGCTGTGTAGGGAGCCCCATGCCCTGCAAGACCTCGACCATAGCTGCAGCGACCAGCGCCCACTGCCGCCATCAGCAGCACCAGGAGATTGCTCAACAGGGCTGGGCATGCCGTTGCAGAGCTGCGCGCGCTCCGAAGTGACCGCAACCAACTGGGTGCGCGCCTCCGCGATTGCTGCCTCGCCTTCCTCGACCTCCTGCAGCTTGGCGATGGACGCGTTCTTCTCATCCACAGTGCGCTGCCAGCGGACCTGCTGACTCTCCAGCTGGGCCATCCGCTTCGACAGCGCGTTGAGCTTGATGGGAGCAGGCTTGGCGCCGAAAAGCTCTCCTCCAAGCTTGACCCTCTCTTTCTTGTACTCCGTGACGATGGCTCCGATAGCCGCTGGCATCGGTTTCGTGCGCCCCAGGTGCTCGATGCAGCCGTCCAGCTCGGAGATCCTGGCCTTGGTGGTTGTGGCCACATCTGCCTCCACCATCTCCGCATCGCCATCAGCGGCCGCCAGTGGCTTGTGCTTGGCCTCTCGAAGTTCTCGCTGCAGCTGCTAGGGGGCCACATGCGAACCCTACCCCCGCCCCCCACGATTTCTGCGTGGAAGGGTGGGGCTCACTTCGTTCGGGAGCTCCCGAGCGAAGTGGACCCCACCCTCCCCCTCAGAAACCGTGGGGGGTAGGGGTAGGGTTCGCACGAGGCCCCCTAGCTTAGCTGCTCCGCCTGCCTGTGCACGGCCTGTAGCTGCTCGTCCATTGGCTTCGCCCCGCCTCCGCCGCCCGACTTGCCGCCGTTGTGGAGTGCCAGGGCTGGACCTAAACGGTGTTTTTGGTGATTTCGTGGGCCGTGATCGTTTCGACTTCGTTTTGCGGTAAAGGCGGCTTCGAGACAAAAGCGAGGGAAACCGAAAACAAAACGAAAACGAAAAACACCGTTTAGGTTCAGCCTTGTGGAGTGCCGCTTGCTGCGCCCTCGGCCCACGGCGCGCGGGCGGGGAGAGGGGCAGGATCGGCACCAGGGCGCGAGCTGAGCGGTGCTTTGGCAACTTCGTGGGCCGTTGTCGCTTGGACCTCGTCCTGCAGCAAGCGTGTCACGAAGACGGAACTGGGGGACGACGAAGACGGAGTCTCGTGGGCCGTTCTCGTTTTGGCTTCGTTTTGGCGTCGTTTTACAGCGAGTGTGGAACGAGGACAGAACCAAGGATGACGAAAGCAAAACGAGAACGGGACACCGTTTGGCTCGAGCCCCGATCGGCACCTCGCGCCTCCGGCTTCCCCTCGGAGGGCTGTGGCTTTGGCGATCTCCCACGGGGGTGGCGGGCCAGCTCGTCTGCAACATTGGCGAGAGGCTCACCGTTCCGCCCCGTGCGCCGCTTGGCGGCACCACGTCGTGCGCTGCTGATCGCGGCGGCCGACGGGAGCCATCGCTACTCGTCGGCTGGTGCGTGAGAGCCACACTGTGCAGTACAGTCGGGGCCCTGAAGAAGGAACCCTTTTCGTTGGGGAGGGGCTCGGTGTTCCTTGATGGTTCTACAGTTTGCCTTCTGTTTTCCGGAATTTTTCCATGGGAAACCGAAGTTCAATTTATGGGAGAAAGGGGCCCCGTTCCTTATTTAGGGTTCCTTAGGTCAACGCCCCGACAGTACCCCAGAAAAACAACGATGGCCAGAGCGGAGCGGCCCAGATCATTGTCGCAGTTTTGTTCCAAGAGCTTGGCTCAAAGCGCGACCCCTCGCGCTCAGAACGCCCTCTTGAACTCGCGGTCGTCGGGAGACGCATTGCCTTGATCCAAAATGGCTACGGTGCGTGTGTGTGAGTGTGCGTGTGTGTGTGCCTGTGTGTCTGTGTGCCTGTGTGTCTGTGTGTCTGTGTGTGAATGGAGCCCTCCCGTGCCTCCCGGCCCTCGCGGGGATCCGATTGGCTGGGAACGTCATTTGGTTTGCCTCGGGCGCGTCTTCTCGGGAGAGGCCTCGTCACGTTGCATCTTCGGAGGGCCTCGCCTTGTCCCCAAAATTGGTGTCTTCTCCTGTGCCCGACGCGGGCTCGATGCGGACTCGACGCGGATTTGGCATGGATTCGACGCGGATTCGGCACGGATTCGGCGAGTCCGACATGGATTCGACACGGATCCGACGCGGATAGGACCGCGACGGGACTGACAAGGTCCCCCGAGGAGGCAACATTAGAGAGGCCTCGAGATTTAGCAGGACCATTAAAAAGCGAGCGCCGAGGTGTGCGCAGGCGTTGCCGCTGAGGTTCGCCCAGGACGGTGCAGCACCGAAGGCTACGTACAGCTCGCACGAGTTTCAGTTCCTCCTCCTCCTCCTCCTCCTGTTCCTCCTCCCATTCCTGCTCCTCTTCCCGTTCCTGATTTAATACTCTTGACCCACGCTCTCGAGGACGTTTTTCGTTTCCGCGACATGGTCCGGCTTGCTCGTGCCGTCTCGATCAGGGCTGGTGTCAAGAGAAGGAAGAGGACGAAGAGGAGGAGGAGGAGGACGAGGAGGAGGCTCGTCCTCCTCCCTTCTCCCTCCCTCTCCTTCCTCTTTCTTCCTCCTCCCCGCTCCTCCTCCACCTCCCCCTCCCCCTCCTCCGCCCCCGCAGCCCCTGAGGAGAACCTGGCCAAGGACAGCGGCGCGGGTGACCACCAGGAGCCCCCCAAATCGTCGTCGTTGCCGCCCGCCGCCGTCGTCGCTCCTGTCGCCGACGTCGTCGTTCAGTGGCCCCCGTCGTCCTCGTCCTTCTCCTTCCCTCCGCCTCCCCCTGCCCCTCCCTCCCTGACTCCCTCATCGTCCTTGTCCTCCTCCTCCTCCCCACTCCGCTATTTCCCATCTTCCATTTCCTTGGTTTTCAGGTCTGCCCCGCAGAGCGTGCCGCAACCTTCGGTTGCCTCAGAGAGCTGCAGGTCGCCCTGCAGCTCCACGCAGTCTCAGGACCTCGCTGCAACCTGTCTCTGCGCTGGCGTGGCTCTCTCCTCGCCTTCTTTCACTGCAGCTGGAGCCCCGTTGGCAACACACATCCTCAACCACCTCTCTCTCCTCATCCCCGTCCTCTTGCTCCTCCTCCTCCTCTTCCTCCTTTCCTCCCTTCTCCCTCTGCCTCTTCCCTTCAGCCCTACCCTTCATTCTCCTGATCATATACATGCTTGCGTGCAGTCCATACGTACAGGTTTCAGGAGGCCACGGTTTCTCCCACCAGGTCTTGAGTAGGCCCGGACAGCTGTCCGCAGTGGTGGTTCGTTCTTCCTTCTCCAACTTCTTCTAGAGGATACGTACATCCGATTGCCCCCAAAATCTTAAGAACGCCGCCGAACGCCGACCGAAGCCAATTCCAAACCTTGAGAACCCAACGACCTCCTTTGCTCCTTCATGTACTTTCCCTCCCCCTCCTACTACCACTACGACTACGACTACCACTACTACTACTACTACTACTACTACTACTACTACTACTACTACTACTACTACTACTACTACTACTACTGATACTACTACTACTACTACTACTACTACTACTAACTACTACTACTACTACTACTACTACTACTACTACTACTACTACTACTACTACTACTACTACTACTACTACTACTACTACCACTACTACTACTACTACTACTACTACTACTACTACTACCACTACCACTACCACTACCACTACCACTACCACTACCACTACCACTATTACGACTACTACTTCTATTTTACTTCTATGTATACCTATATGTCGTCTGCTCCTTCTACTTCTACGACTACTTCCACTACTACTACTTTAACTAGTACTACTCCTTACTCTTCTACGACTCTACTGCTAGTACTACTCCACTACTACGACGTATGTTATATTTTTTAAAATTTTACATTATACTTATTCTACTTCTTCTACTTCTACGACGACCACTACTACTATCACTACTCACTACTACTACTATTACTACTACTGCTTTTACTACGAGTACTACTACTACGACTACGCTTACTACTACTACTACTACTACTACTACTGTACTACTACTACTACTACTACTACTACTACTACTACTATACTACTACTACTACTACTACTACTACTACTACTACTACTACTACTACTACTACTACTACTACTACTACACCTACTACTACTACTACTACTGCTACTACTACTACTAAACCTATACGTCCGCGCCTCTACTATATACTACACTACTACCTTTTACTACTACTCCTAACCACTTATACTACTAATCAACTACTACTACTACTAACTACTTCTTACTACTTCATTACTTACTAACCACATTTATTACGGTGCACTACTACTACACTTACACCACTAACCACTACCACTGTAACTGCTCAACTCATAATACTTATACAATACCACTACTATACTACTCATACTGTTAATACTACTACTACGACTAATAATAATACGACAGCGACTACTACTACTACTACTACTACTACTACTACTACTACTACTACTACTACTACTACTACTACTACTACTACTACTACTACTCACTACTACTCACTACTACTCACTACTACTACTACTTATTCCCTATAGACTACGATTATCGCACTGATCTCCCCTACCCAACGCCATACTCCTCATCTTACATCCTCCCGGAGGCTCTCATCCTCCTAGTTCCCAGTATTGCTACTCTGATTCCTGCTCCCCGCGCATACGCTGGGGAAGCGGACGAAAAGACGGGACAGCAGCACGAACAGGAGGACGAATGTCGCGGTGGTGGGCGGAAGGTAGGGAGGGAAGGCAAGAGGTGAGTGGAGGACGAGGAGGAGGAAGAGGACGAGGAGGAGGAGGAGGAGGTTGAAGAAGAAGAAGAAGACGAGACAGAGGAGAAAGAGAGGGAGGACCAGTAGTAGGAGGGGCCCCAGAGGCCTCCGAAGAAGACTACCACCCCCCCAAGGTTTCGAAGAGGGGGAATCCGAACTGAAATTTCGAACCATTTCCCGACATATGGCCCCCCACGTCGCCAGAAAGGCCCAAAGAGGGCCCCAGGAGGCCCCCAAGTGGCCCCCAGAGGCCCCCCACACCAAGAGGCCCTCAAGAGGTCCCACGAGGCTCCGAAAATTTCCCCGCAAGAACGCAGGCAAGCGCCAATGATGCTACAATGAGCTCCAAGTGGCGCCCAAGATGGTCCAAGAGGGCCTCAAGGGGATTACAAGAGGGGCCCCAAAGGGGGGACACGAACAGCCATTTCGAGCCCTCTGCCCCGAGAGGCCCATGACTGCTCACGCAACAGTTCAAGGAAGCCACCACCAGCCATTAGTAAGCGTTTTAATTAACCCACAACAGTTCAAGGAAGCCACCACCAGCCATTAGTGCCGCGATGGCAACGAACACGGGCAAACGCCAGCGAGGAAATTGAGTCTGGGCCGGCGGAATGAGCGAAACTCACTCGTGGGTGCGGGCTGGGCGTTTCGCCTGATATTTCTTCGCAGTTTGCGATCTTGGAGCTTTTTTTTTTTTTTTTTTTATTTTTTCTTGGAGCTTGGAAGTTGGAACAGTCCCGCGGACGCATGGCCGGCCAGTTTCCACATGGGGCTCTCGTCTAGGCGCCGCGCACACACGTTTCAGACATGTCCAACATAGTTATGCGGATGGCTTTCACAATGGGGCTCCCCGCATTGGCGGTGCGCATTCTCGCTTCAAACATTGCCAGCACTTGCGGTTGGTGCATTTTCAGAATGTTGACTTTCGCCTGAGGTCTTTCAACATGTGGGCGACGCAAAACGAACCGGGGGCGTCTGCGCCGACATTGGCGTGTAGCTGCCAGCGTAAGGACGCGCGTGAGCGCCCTCGTCTCCAGTGTAGCGTGCCGGGCTGGCGGCCCGCGTAGGTCGCCGCGTAAGGTCGCTACGTCCCCTCGCGCAAGGCCCGTTTACGATCGTCGCTCGCACGTGTGCAGCAGCTGTACGGATGTCACCGCCCACCAAACCACCCCAACCCAACCCGAAGGCCCCAATTTGCCCTCCATTTCCAGTTGGGGGGGGGTCGGGGAACGTTGAGGGGGGTCTTCGGGTTGGGTTGGGGTGGTTTGGTAGGTAGCCAGGATGGAGGACGGTTCCTTCTCACCACGGGGCCCAGGACATGCTTTCGGCGTCGTGGCAGAACGCTCGCGGATGGAGGGCGGTGCCTGTCGAGAGGGGGGCCCTCGCTGGCCGAGGGCAGCGCTTGTCAAGACGAAGTCCCCGCCCGAGCTGTGAGCCCCGGGGTCGCGCGTCGTTCTCAAGGGGGGGTTTCGCGCAGTGGGAGACTTGGCACGGGAGGGTACTCTGCAGCA